AGCAACATTTGCCTAGTGGATGCTAGTGAAGCTCCACCCCAGCAGGACCAAGCAGTGTATGTCAACATACAATACACACATACAGCATGTATTTATCAGACCAACATGCCGGCACTGCACCAAGAGGGTGACGGTGTGTCTGTGTATGTGTGTGTACACACGCATGCATGCATGCATATGTATTCATGCTAGGTATAGTGGTGAAGGCTGATAATTCCAGCTACTAAGGGGGATGAGGCGAGAGGATTTCAGGTTCTGGGATAGCCTGAGCTACATAGCAAAATGTCATCTCAAAAAATAAAGGAGCTAAATGAATGAATTTTGGTGAAATGCATAGTGTCCCTAAAAAGTTTAATATTTATTTTTAAACACCAAATCCTATCCCATGTGACAATTTCCTACCATTTGATTGGCCCGTCAGCAGTGAGTCGTTAAGCTTTAAGTCTGTGTGCTCTGGCTGCATTTTATACAGGGACAACACAAAACAAAGACATTAAGGCTTCGGTCTTAATCATAACCCAAAATAATATTTTACAATTTGTATGTCTTACAATGCAGTACCAATAAACATTAAAAATCTCCTGAAGTTCTTGAGATGGGATCTGGGGGCTCATGCATATTAGCCAAGTGTGTTACCCCCCCCACACACACACACACACTATATCCCTAGCCTCCACCCCAGCCTCTTAATATTGGAGTTCCAGGTGGTGATTTTTATATTTTTAATTTGTTATTTTATTTCATTTGTGCTGTGTTTTGTGCCAAGTGTCTCCCGTTCCCGTGGAGGCCAGAAAAGGGTTTCAGATCCCCTGGAACTGGAGTTACAGAGTCTTCATGCGGATGCTGGGGACTGAACTCAGGCCCACTGAGCCACCCCTCCAGCACAGGTGGTAACTAGATTAAGAGGGTATATGTGTCCAGGTTTGGGTATATGTGCACACTGAATATGGACAAGTGTGAGCATGTGTGCACAGTGTTTTCTCAAAAGCTCTCAATTCACCTCCCCCCCAAGACTCCGGAGTTGGTCCTCAACCTCCATAAATCTGCAAGCCTTCAATGCCACTCATGTCGCAGTGACCTCCCCAACCATAACATTGTTTTCCTTGTTACTTTGTAACTGTAAATTTGCTACTGTTAGGAATATGACTTAATATCTGATATGCAGGATGGTCTTAGGCAACCCACAGGTTGAGAACCGCTGCTGCTCTAGAGGGAGAGATGTTTTCATATGTACAGTGGGAGCTTCTGGCACACCTCCTGCTGAAGGCCCCAGCCTGGCCCAGTCCATTACCCTCCAGCCCTTTGCCCTGGCCAGAGCCCTTGGTTCCCTCTGATTAGATCTTGGCCACACAGAGACACTGCTGGGATAAGGGACCTAATTCCAGAAGGGTTCAGATGGACTCCAAGAATCCAGAATGTCGGTTGGAAACATGGGATTCTCGTCTTGCCAGGCTTGTTAACTCTCTGAGTTATCCACTGTCAAGACGAAACCCTACAGTCCATCCTTTTGAAACATAAACCCTCAGTCCAGACTGTTCCTGTGAAATCTGATATCTCCCCTATGTTCCTCCCAAAACTGAGTCATGAATCCTTCCCCACCACATATAGCCAAGTGCCTCTTGGTTAATCCTTATCAGTATCATATGTGATGACTCCCCAGGAAGTGCTTAGAACATCTGCCACCATATTCCCTGCATTGCACAGGCGTGACAGCTGCTATTCTGAGGGCTCCCACAGCAAAGGGATTACTAGATGCTGCAGGCATTGGCAGACTCCCACTCCAAAAGGCAAACATTTTGGAGAAATCTCTGTATTCAAGAAATCAGTGTTTGTCCAAGTTAAATTCAGAAAATCGTGAGTCACGTTTCATCCTGAAGAACTGAGACGGGAAAATTACCCATGCACGTGGCCACACAGTCCCTTTCCAATATATACCATTAAAATTGGAAGTAGTCACCAAGAATCTCAGTGGTGTAGGGTGAGGTAGCAGGGACTTGTCCTCTGGTTCACTGCACAGGACACCAAGGTTCTCACAGCCTGGAGTGCCTTGTGAATGAGCCCAAGTGTCTTCTTTATTTAGGCACCCTAACAACTCTGATGCTGAGCTCAGCACACTATGGTGCACAAGTATTGAGTGCCTGCTGTGTTCCAGGCACTGCGTTAGGCCCTGCGTTGCTGTGGTAAACAAAAAGAAATGCCCCTCCCCTTCCAAAGCTTGTATTCCAGAGGGGATGTTGAAAAGGAAACGGGCAAATGATAATCCAATGGATGAAGACATAGAGGTGGTCGAGGGCGGGGAGGATATACATCAGGGCCTTTGTTGGCTGCTAGATTTCACCTGTCACACTGGGTGGGGGGAGTCACACCTTCAGAGTAAGTGATGGACTTAGGCTAGACACTTGGGTGGACCCAGCTTCCCTCCTCACACCACAGACCTATTGCAGCTTTTAGAATGTTGCAGGCTGCAGAAGCACATCTGGACCACTCAAACTCTCAGACTTTGCCCCCTGACGAAGTTTTGCTGTTCTTTTGGGGGAGCCTGCCCCCTCCTCAGACCCTGGAGTCCTGCCACTCCTGACCGGGGCTAGCATCCCTTCTCCCCTTTGCTCACACTGCAGTTCCCGTGGCTGTTCTTGAGAACACCACCCTCTCCACCTCTACCCCCAGGGTGGCCTGGGAATACATAAGCTTGGCAACACTACGCCTTAAGCCCCAGACAGCAGGGCAGATGCTCCAACTCAACATGCATTTAACTAATGACTCTGGTTCCATTTTCCATTTCCCATCCAGCTCCCAGGGCCTGGCACAAGGCACAAGAAATGTAGGCAAATCTCGTGGAAGAAGCGAGGCTATGTGGCTGCAGGAGCAATAGACGTGAAGTGCTCCAGGCCCTACGCTGGGACTGACAAGTGCATGTGTGGGAAGAAGGGAAGAAAAGCCAGCTCAGGGGGTCCTGAGCCATGTAGGGAGGGGTAACAGAGGAGTGACTGACTGGAGGTTGCTTTGTATGATGTTTTCTAAGTAGGGGGATCCTGAGCCCTCCATGCTGATGGAGCGGGGAAGCAACATAAAGGGAAGAGATAGTTTATTCTGGAGCCATTCTGAGTGATCATGCCCTATCCTAAAGTCCATGTTCCAATGTGGAAGCAGTTTTTAAGTTTTAATCTTACTGAGCAAAGGAAGTCATAAATCAAGGTAAGTTTAAAATACATTAGTGTCTAAGAGAGGTGCTCATAGCAGACGGGAGAAGGTTTTCTTTAGGCCGAGGAATCTATCTGGTGACAATCTTAGCCTTTGGGCTGGTGGGAGCCAGTGGTCTGCTAAGTTAATAGATTCCAAAAGGTTTGTATCCATCAGTCACAGAACATTAGATCTGACACAGAGGTGGGCAAGGAATGGCTGTTCTAGGGGATAAAGCTAGCCCAGGACAAGGCAGTTCCTCTAGACCTGCAGTATCCCAGCCTCTCCCCAGCCCTGCAGTTCTAATCAGTCAGTCCTGCAGACAGCTTCTTTTCAGTTCTCACACACAGTACCCAGCAGCTCCTCGTGACCTGCCGTGACACTGTGCAGAGCTCACAAGGATGCTCACAGCTCCCACATGTGGGCTCATGGCCCTCTGACTGCTGAAGGGGAAGATCACGGTCCAGGTAGCCACCCAAACAACAAAGCATCCCAAAAACTGCAAATCAGTAAAGCCAGAAGCCTTCAGATGACCACGCTTCAGTTACTGGCCAGCTAGACCTGTGACATTACACACCGTGAGACTTAAAATCACAATTATACAACACTGTATCCACACATACATTATATACTATATATATATATATATATTCTCAGGATCTCTGGAAGAGCAGCCGGTGCTCTTAATTGAAAAAGGGGGGAACTCATGCTACAAGAATGGGAGGTCCAAAGTCCAAAATGGTCCAGCGAGCACTGAGTAGAGAGAGCGCTCACCTACCTACTCCGGTTTTTCTACCTGGGCTCCAGGTGGCCACACCCTAACCAGATGTGATTGGTTGAGCTTCCCCATTATATATATACATCACATAGTGCTACATACACTATATATACATGTTATATATACTATATACACATGGTATATATTTTATATATTCTATATATACACACTACATATACACATACTATGTATACACACTGCACATATACATACAATATACAGACACATACATACTATATATATACTAGCATATACACAATATATACACATACATACACACTATATATACACATACATGTTATACACATACTATATATACACATATTATACACTCTATATACATATAATATACACACAAATATACATATACACACTATACAGATATATATTATATGCCCACACTGTGCACACATGCATATACACACACTCATATGCATGCACACACACACATGCATGCACACACATATACATACTCCACTGCTGTTTGTGTGGAGGAAAGTTTAAATGCCCAAGGATTCTTAACCAATTGCCCCAAAGACATATACTGTAGCTCATCCTTGGATGAGGGACTGTATATCTGGGTGCCCTGTGAAGAGTAGTTACCCTCCCAGCTGGGCTGAAAGTTCTGCGATTTTCTATAATTCTTAAAAACTAATACTAGGGAAAAATAATAGGATATGGCATGGAGACTGTCCAGACTCCTCTCAGAAGATCCAGGCCACAGTATGGTCCAGATCCACGAGAAGCTCCACTAGGAAACATCTCCCCTACAGACCAAATCATTCATCCTGACTGGGTTCCTCCCACAGAGGTCTTATCACGGGGAAGTGCTGTTTTGTGGGATCCCTAGCCAGCAACCCTCCCATGGGAGGGACCTTGTGAGACGCTCCTTCCAGGTTGCAGTGAACAACACTTGAGTTTTCAGGCTTGTCTTGGTTGTCTTCCTCTGACTAGATTAACAGGACTATCTTTAGTGTTTCTCCACAGGACGATCCTCCCAGAGACACTAACATATCCCATTTAACTGTGTGTGTTTCTGCAGAAGGAGAAGAAGAGTGGGCTGCTGAAGCTGCTAGCTGGGGCATCCACCAAGAAGAAGTCCCGCTCCCCACCATCTATATCTCCAACGCACGACCCCCAGTCTGCCCTGGATACCTCACTGCAGGGTGCTGTGGGCCCTGAAGTGTCCCCATTGACCGTCCACGGCAGGGCAGGTTCCTGCCCCATAGAAAGTGAGATGCAGGGAGCCATTGGGTTGGAGCCACTGCACAGAAAAGCCGGCTCTTTGGATCTGAATTTCTCTCTGTCCCCTTCTCGGCAAGCAACTCTGTCCATGGCTTCCATCCGCCCTGAACCTAAGCCACTGCCCAGAGAGAGGTAAGGAGGTGAGGGTTTTTTATCTCTATGTCCTCTCTTTAGGACTAACACCCATTCTGGAACCTTCTTGAGGACTGGGCAAAATAGAGTTTGCCAGGTATCAAACTTAATCAAATGTTCCTCTTTACCCAAGCCCTGGGGCATACTTCTTATTCCCAGCCTGCCTTTTGTCTAAGTTAGGGTTTTTAGTGCTAAGAAGAGACATCATAACCATCGCAACTCTTATAAGGAAAACCTTTAATTGAGAGGGCTTACTTAGTTTCAGAGATTTAGTCCATGATCATCATAGCAGGGAGTATGGTAGCATGCATGCAGACATAGCTCAGAGTCCTGCATCTTGTGGGCAACAGGAAGCTGACTGAGATACGGGGCTGAATCCTAAGCACAAGAAACGTCAAAGCTCACCCTCACAGAGACACACATCCTCCAACAAGGCCATACCCTCCCACTGCAACAAAGCAGATAACTTGGCACCAAGGGCAAAGCCAAGCAAGCAAAAGATGCGATGTTCTTGCTTCTTATATACCTTTCTGTCGTGGGGGGTGGGGTGGGAGGTACACGCCTTTAATCCCAGCAGTGGGGAGGCAGAGGCAGAGGCAGGCACATCTCTGTGAGTTCGAGACCAGCCTGGTCTACAGAGCTAGTTCCAGGACAGGCTCCAAAGCCACAGAGAAACCCTGTCTCGAAATAAGTAAATATTAAATAGTTCTGCAGTCATGTCCAAAAGACAGCATTCCACAGCACTCTGACCCCGCCTCCAGCTCTTACATTCTTCCTGCCACTCCTGTAATATCCCCTGAGCCTTGCAGGAGGAGACATGAAGCTATCTCACCCACGGCTAAGCATTCAGCTGTTACCTACTCTGAGCATTGTGACCAAGTGCGAGTCTCTGCAAGGACCACTGCCCCTTGGGAGAAGCATCTCTTGGACCAAAGCTGATAATCTTTGGGGAGAAGCATTAATACTATAATTATCCAGAAGGCAATTTGATTACTATGTCATGTCAACCTTACAGGGCAGGAACTGTGGCTTCCTCACTAGGGCTACGACTTTTCCAGCCACTGGCTTCTGGCCAGGTTTACAGTAGAAGATGTGATTTCCTTCTTGCGGAGCAGGCCTCAACTCCGAGCAAGAAACACCCCATTGTAGACTTGCCGCTATTGTACGAGTTGGCACGTGTTGCTTGGCCAGTTGGTAGTGTAGCAGGCCCACCTTTAGCTGAGCAAGGCTGCTGGTCACTGTTCTCCCTGTAGTACCCTGCATAGTACAGTGCCTTGCAATACTGAGTGCTAGCCAATAGGGAAGACGCTTTCACATCAGTTCCAGCCTGGTTTTCCTATGTCGTACAATTAGAGCATGTGATTATCTTTTCTGGTGGCAGCCAACTGCAGTGGCAATTGCCTGTATTATTTTAGATGCCTGGGAGGCTCCCTGACCAACAGCTCCAAGGGAGATTCAGTGGCAAATTAAAGAGCTTTGGGAAAACTTTAAAAAGATAATTTTACAAAATGTGCAAAGTAACCCTCCACTGTAAGAACTTACACAGAGAGAAGAGGGGATAGAGAGCTCAAAGTGGCGGGTAGGCTCCAGGGCACAAGAGGGATAACCTAGGATCCCCCCCCCCACACACATCACATGCTGTTCCTTCTGTCCTCCCAGGTACCGTGTGGTGGTCTCCTACCCTCCACAGAGTGAAGCAGAGATTGAACTAAAGGAAGGTGATATCGTCTTCGTACACAAGAAACATGAAGACGGCTGGTTCAAGGGGACTCTGCAGCGGAATGGCCGCACGGGCCTCTTCCCAGGCAGCTTTGTGGAGAGCTTCTGAAGGCCACTGCTCATGTCCAGTTCTGCCTTCCAGGAGAGGGTACCCAAGAAAGCACTGTGTGAGCAGAGGAAGCCTTGTCACCTAGGTCCCAGGACCTTTCTAAAGCACCTGATTGGGGCGATGACGCGGTTTTGAAGTCCTAGTTGAAAGCACATATGGATGCCATCCTGGTTGTGACAGCCATACCCTCAAGTGACATATGGATGCCGTCTTGGTTGTGACGGCCATACCCTCAAGTAACATATGGATGTCGTCTTGTGACGGCCATACCCTCATCGAAAGCACACGAGTGTCCTTCAAGATCATGCCATGAGTCTCAGTGACCAGTACCACAGAAAAAGTTGCCCACGTAGACAAATGCACTACTATGCCATCCAGCAGCTAAGGCAATCTTAGTCAGTGCACGGTTGGGAGCCTGGGTGTAGTGTGGGGCCGTGTGCTAGGGCTGACAGCAATGGAGAGTAACTTCCCCGGCTGTCCTGGGCATCATTCCTCTATATACCTCTGACACCTGCCATCAAGCCCCACACACAGGGCATTTGTGGTTGAGGAGCCTCACATAAGGGCTCTGAGTCTCCAAGGTGTCCAGTGGGGTCCTGTTGGGTACCACAGAATCCTTATGGCTTTGTCTCCTACCAGGATGATAAGGAACACATTTTGGTTTTGCCACCACTGTCTCTGCATTGCTTCCTTCTTATGGCACCTTTTTAACGTACAAGTCTTAAACTTTATATATTTCTAATAGGTCAGACGCTGCATATTTTTCATGCATCTGGTGCTGATTTTTGTAAAACTAGAAATCACTTGGGTAAGCTTCGAGGAAAGAAATTGAGGTAACATCAAAGGAAAGTTTTATATATTCCCATATGAAGTTGGGAGCATATTGAGGAATTCCTGTCTGTAAAATCTAAACATTGCCCGGTGCTTCCATGAGGTGAGGGAGAAAGTCTGCCGAGATGGTCACGTGGAGTCGGAGAGGGTCTTTCCCAGCTGCTGGCAATAGCCTAAACCACATGCTCCGTCTATGTAGCAGTGACTATGATTTTTTAAAAAATGGAAACGTTTTGAGGAATTTATTCTGCCTTTTTGTGTGGCAGGAAAGCACACACACACACACACACACACACACACACACACACACTGACCCCTGAAGCTCCCTTTGATTGCTTTAGAGAGAATGGCTAAAAATAGCATTCTTAAAGTGTGTCTTGCTGCCAAAATGCAGCTTTTACAACAGCTCAGATCACTACCTTGCAAAGGTTTTTGTCTCCATTTAAAAAAATAAGTAACTTCCCATATCAGGCCAGGCAAAATTCCATCTGCTAGAGACCAAAGGTACCATGATAATAAGAGTCTAGCTCATGACTCCAGGCTTCCAGGGCCTGGGGACACTGGAAAAAGAAACAGGATGGTTTCTTTGGCCCTGAGGCCTTCCTGTAAAGTTCACTGGAGAAACAGCTTGCTTCCCAGGAGGTTCCCTGAATGGCCATCAAGAGGTGTGAGTGGCACACTTAGAATCACTTTTTTTTTTCACCTCAAAAATATCAATCTGTGATCCTCTTGTGTACCTTTTTTACAAAACCACCCAGCCCTGTGCCAGCCTTTGGTATCAGGGGCTATCCCTAGTTTCTGTAATAAAATAAGGACCACTCACCCTCAACGTTCCTATTTGAGGCTATGATTTAACTAGGCGTGACCGCCACATGAAAGCATTGACGCCTAGGGAAAGTCTCTTCCTCCATGATAATAGACTTACTGGACATAAGAAAACTCTTCTGAACCAATGAGCTTAGGCATAGGGGTCCCTGTGTGCAGGGTCAGTGACAACCACAAGGTCTCTAGTCACTGCCACTGCTAAACTACTTGCCCATCTGTGCACAGATCTGTGTATGGTTAAATCCATGCTGTCACCAGGGAGGTATACCAGGATATTTCCTGGGAGAGACGTGTTTCTAGTGGAGCCAGAGCTAACTCCGGTTTCCAGACAATCAAAGTCCCCTTTTCCCTCCTCAACAAGATCGACTTGGAGTCAACAGGTCAACTTTGACCTGTCCTCCTTTCTCGTGATGGTGAGGAGGTAGCAGCTTGATAGAATGCTGAGGAAAGTAGCAAGGTTTGGACAACACGAGGGGGACCCTCTCCTAACAAAGTCCTGGGTTTACACAGGAACTATCTTGGGAGGGAAACAGGGCCCTAGGACTCATTCCAAGGTGGGGCTCGTAAAAATACACAATGAGCCCCATGGTCTAAGTATTTTGAATACTCTCAAACCCTTTAACTTTCAAAATCATGTATTCCACAGTCCAGAACAGAAAAGAGGTACCTTTCCTGGTGTACCTTTGAGGACACATGTCTTGGCTACCAAACTGTGAAGCCAGCAGCCCATCTAGAAACTTCACTTTCTATCCTGGCCAGTGGCATGTGCTTCTTACTCATACAATGGCATTTGGTGGCCAGGTGGTTTTCCTTGAATAGTTCTCAGCCCTTCAGATTGAAGGTCACCATGGAGACAGGACAGTCCAGCCCCAAGAAGATTGAAGGAAGGAACAAGAGAGATAAGACAAGATGGTCTGTGGTGGGGTGTGAATATAAGGCTGGGCACTCCAAAACCATTCCGGTAGACACGGAAGCCCTTGTACTTTGTACAACACACATACACACAAGCGTGCAAGCACATGTCCCCAACCCCACATTGTTTCTATTATACACCAATGTCAGTCTGTAATTTTGGATGAATTGACAGTAGTGGCAAACTATGATGCCTGTGTTTCTGAGTCTTTAAATAAACATGACCATGGAGAGGCTGTGTGTCTCAATAGTGGGAACAATGCAGTTGGGGCAGAAGATGTGAGCCCGAGAGTGGGCGGGATTCAGGCCCTGGATGGGACAGAGTTGAGAGAGCTGTCTTAGTGTTCTATTCTTGTGAAGAGACACCATGACCAGGGCATCTTATAAAAGAAAGCATTAATTGGGGTCTCACTTACAGTTTCGGAGGATTAATCTATGATCATCATGGTGGGGAGCATGACAGCAGGCAGGCACACAGACGTGGTAATGGAGCAGAAGCTGAATGCTCACATCTGATCTGCCAGTTGCAGGCAGAGAAACAGAGACTGAACCTGGTGTGGCTTTTGAAACCTCAAAGTCCACCTGCCATAATACACCACACCAACTAAGCCCTCCTAAACAGTTCACCAGCTGGGAATCAAACATTCAAACATATGAGCCAGGGGTGGGGCCATTCTCATTCAAACCGCCATGCAAGAATTGCCTACATGCCCAAGTCAGCCCCAAGGCTCATACTTGTCACCTTCTGTTCCTTCAGGGAGACATGGGCTCTATGTATATCAGGGGCACTGAGGAACCCAATAAATGACCAGCAGTGAAGTTGAACATGATCACCCAAGCACGTGTTGGATATCAACTAGTCAGACAATAAGAAGCAACTATAGCTTCCACTGTGGCAAGGAGTCGTGGTCTCTTTAGTTCCCTTCCAGAGTATACAGACTTACTAAAGTCCTCGTCATCCAGAATTGCCTAGTATAGATGAGGGCAAACTTCTAGCTCTGCTCTTCTCTCTGGCCCTCAGATGCGTAAGCCATGAAGAGTTGTGTCCTGGAGCACAGGGTGGGAAGAGAAGAGACAGGGATACAGCAGAAAGGCAGGTCTGCCCCACACCAGGCAGACAGGTAGGCTAGCAGAAGTGTCCGAGACAGGATGTACCCCTAAAACAAAGCTTTGATTGGCTTCTCAGCCAAGATGTGGCCCCACTTTGTGTTCTGTTACTGTGAAAAACTTCAGGACCAAAACAAACGAGAAAAGGGTTGATTTTATTTTACACTTCTAGGTCACAATCGGAGCAAGAACTCGAGGCAGAAACTGACAGAGGAACCAAAGCAGAGACCATGGAGGAGTGCTGCTTACTGGCTTTTTCACCCTGGCTTGCTTAGATAGCTTTCTACTTTTTTAAAATTATTTCTGTTCTTATTTGAGATTAGAGCGTAATTACATCATTTCCTCCCTCTCCTTTCCTTTGTGCAAACCCTCCCATAGGCCCTTCCTTGCTTCTCCTCCAAAGTCATGGCTCATTGTTGTTACATGGACATATGTATATGTATGTATATATGCACATATATATATATATATATATACATTCCTAGATATATAACTATAACGTGTATAATGTTAGTTGGGTGTATGTCTTCAGGGCTGACCATCTGGTAGTGGATAGCCAGTTGGTGTGCTCTTCTCTGAAGAAGACTATTTCTCCCTCTCTCAGCATCCAACACGGGACCCAGAGGCCCCTGAGCAAGAACTGTTTTGAAAGCCTCCTCAAGGACTGGCTTTCATAGTACCAGAAGGTGACACGGGAGCTTCAGAGGAGGGACATAACCGATAGTCCCACCCAGCTACAATGCCTATGAGCCACAACAATGACCAGCATGGCACAACAACCCTAAGGGGTCAGTAGTGGCATTCATACCTTGGCCATTAGCAACAGCTCTCTGATTGCAGCTCAGACCCACTCAACAAGAGGGAAATCATGCCTGGTACTGGATACATAGCCAGCTGCCGGGGACTAGTGAAGTCTTGATTCTCAGAGGTGAACCTGTAACTGCCACTTTAGTGAACTAGCATAATCCCTAACTCCATTTTAAATATTTGTCCTAACACCCACAGAGAAGTGGTGTCCTCACCTCTCAACAAGGAGACATCACACATGGACAAACCATTTCAACTAGCTTTCCTATACAATCCATAGATGGCACCATCCACGGGGCTCCAGGCCCTCTCACATCCATTTCCAACTGAGAAAATGCCTCACAGACATGCTCATAAGCCAGTCTGATGGAGGTGACTTCCTGACTGAGACGCCTTGGGAAAACTCTAGGTTATGCTGACAGCTGGACTACAGATGCATACAACATACGACAAAGAGTCCTTTTATCTTGCCATGAAAATTATATGAATTGTATAGGAGCAAGTAACCCAGCATGGGTAGTATGTGGAGAGGATACTGCAGCAGGGGACATGCTGTGTCTGCCTTGCACGAATGAGACCCTCACCTTGGTGGGCTGGATAAGCAGCTAACATAGGAGATTAATAACTGTCGCAGATGCCTACGACCTCAACTACAATCCGACTGTCCAACTGCAGGTGGACTCGCATTTTTAAATTCTGGGTGCTGGTCCACAGCCTCTAAATAAGTATAGCAATGCATTAACTATGTGATGATGTATCAACAAAGGAAGGCTGCTTAGATGACAGTGGTCCAGCAGATTATAACAGAGCCAAGGAATTCTTGTCACCTAGCGACAACAAAGTCTTCCCAATGCCTAATACAATGTATTCCTCAAGTGTAGGTGGTAATGCTGATATTTACCACACTGTCAGTTTAATACATGTTATAGTATGTGCAGAATGCCACACTTGTTAGTACATGACTGTTCCCAGCTTGTGTACCTACTTACAAGTTTACTAAGACATTACGTAGTATATGCTGATGGCAATTCATAAATCTGCTTACCTTTTATGAGTTCTTCAAGAGGCCAGATTGAGTAATTGACTCCTGCTGTCCAGGTCTGTGGTGCTAACACAATGAAAAACGACCGTCTAACAACATAGCCCATCATCTGAGAGTGGGTCTCATCATTAAAGAGTGGGAAGCAGAGACCCAGAAGAAACAGACCGTGCATGCCAGAGTATCTGGGGGAAAAAAAACTGCCTGGCAAGTTACCAGAGCTGTTTGTAAGACAGAAGGGAAAGGTAAACCCCTAGGGACCAATGCCATTTTATACTCAAACTCAAAAAAGCATGTGCATAAACCCTCACACTCACTAAAGCAACTAGCAAAATAATTTAACACAGTGAACCTGGTTGGGGCCCTTGAACCATTCAGTAGAAGAGACATTTCTTCATCAGATGGGCTTCCTCCAGCAGCTGGTGGGAACAGATGCAGAGACCCACACCAAACATTAGGCGGAGCTTAGGGAAGTCCTTGGGAGGGGGAAGGAAGGATTGTAGGAGTTGGAGAGGTCGAGGATACCAGAACACAGCCCACAGACTCAAGTAAGCAGGGCTCGTGGGGCCTCACAGACACTGGCGCGGCAATCTACGCTAGATCCTCTGAACACAAGCTGTGGTTGTTTGGTTTGGGGTTTCTGTGAGACTCCTAATAGTGAGGGGTGGGGGTGTCTCTGACTCTTTCACTTACTTGCACATGAGACTCTTTTCCTCCTACTGGTTTGCCTTGCCCACCCTTGAGATGAGAATTTGTGCCTAGTCATAATGTATCTTGTTACGCTATGTTAGGTTGATATCACTGGGAGGCCTGCTCTTTTCTGAGGGGAGAGAGAGGAGCAGTGGCTCCTGGGCGAAAGGGGAAGTATTATTATATGAAAGAAAAATAAAGAAAAAGACAATTTTCATTACCCATCAATGAATGAAGCTGTCCATTGAAGCTCTAAGTCCCTATAAGTTTTGTGAGGGGAAGTCGCATTCCTGCCTCTGACTGACACCAATATGATGTGTCTACTCTTCATTTCAACCTCACAACAAAAGGTCACAAGAGGCACTACAGTGTGGAGCAATGAACCATGCGGGCCACTGTCCTCAGCAAGCCACAGAGACATGGAATGAGGTGATTAATGTCATGAATAACTAAAGTGTTTCTGAGGAAGGGAGCCAAACTGGCCAGAAGCATCCATAGTATGCATGCCAAAGGCCTGGGCAAGAAGCCCCTGTGAGCTTCTCCAGGAAGCCCCCTGTGAGCTTTTCCAGGAAGCCCCTGTGAGCTTTTCCAATGAATGGAGGGGAGACTTACCAGATGGTCCCTGTCATGATGGTGGTTGAACCAGTGGCTTACCAATTTTACTATCATGAAAAAGCAATACATTCAGTAGAAATCATACTTCAAGTTTTTAATCCAGGTCTTTTCTGGAGGGAGAAACGCACAGTCTCACCCTCTCTTTTGCTGTTAAACAGTCACATAAAGCTGTAGCTGCGTCAACCCTGCAATACAAGAGAGACAACCAGTGCTGCGGTGTGCTGGGCTGCTTACACTTCATGACAACCAGTGCTGCGGTGTGCTGGGCTGCTTACACTTCATGACAACCAGTGCTGCGGTGTGCTGGGCTGCTTACACTTCATGACAACCAGTGCTGCGGTGTGCTGGGCTGCTTACATTTCATGACAACCAGTGCTGCGGTGTGCTGGGCTGCTTACACTTCATGACAACCAGTGCTGCGGTGTGCTGGGCTGCTTACATTTCATGACAACCAGTGCTGCGGTGTGCTGGGCTGCTTACATTTCATGTATATTTGAATAATCAAATTTTCAGCTTATGGTTTGACTGGGACGTAATCCTATCGTGGAACAAGAAACCTCTATATTCAAAGTTTTTCTTTACCTAGAATTTACATATATTATCTTATTTAATCCATGTGTCCGTGTGTGTGCGTGTGTGCAGGCATTCATGAACAGTGACACACATTTGGAGGGCAGAGACAACCTCAGGTGTCAATCCTTGCTTTCCACCTTGTATGAGACAGGATCTCTTATTATTCACCATGGCATACGCCGTGCTAGCAGGCCTGTGAGCTTCTGAGGATTCTCAGCACAGAAGCCCTGGGCTTGCAGGTATGTGCTGTGTGTTTGCAGTTCTGCGTGGTTCTGGGGGTCCAAACAAGTCCTTACATTTGCAACATGAGAGCCGTCTCATTATCCCCTGAGCATGGTTTTTATCATCTCCATTATACACAGGAAAAGTTTCACGGAAGAGAAAGGGAAACAG